TTAATCCTCTTATAGTCCCTACTCATGTCCTCAATGATAGCATAAGGGCAAAGGTATAGAGACTATAAACTATGCAGAAAAGTTCTTTTAATGCTTTGGTTTTAGATTGTGAATTTTTTAAGTCGTTTGGTTTGTGACATTTTATTTTCTCTGTTTCAGATTGAGAGGTATGTGGTGTGCAGAATTATACACGAAGGAATTTCAAATTATCAGCCCACATTCAAACTTCCACCAGGATGGACAACTAGGCCTGTTGATGAAGGAGAACCAAATTGATATGGCAGAAATCTTTGTGCTTAGTATAGGGACCCAGTTTTGCCGTGGTCTTTGACATTGGAAGTTGCAGATAGAAGAAATAGCAAATCGACTTCCTCCTTTTGATGTTTTCCTCTTCAAGTTCTTTATTTATTTGGGAGATCTCTTCCAGTTCTTTTGTTTGGCCGACTACTGTTATACTTGCCCCATAATTTTCTTTTTTGTTAAAATGAATAAATTTTTATTGGCTAGTTTCTTCTAACTTTCCCAAGAGGGACTCAGAGAGTTCAGAATTGTAAATTCAGATTTTTCAACAAAGAGATCATTGAGATACTTATTTCTAACCTTCAACAAACTACTGTAACCGAAAATGAAAACAGTTTCATCACATTACACAAGCTTGAAAAGACTCGGTAAGAACATTCTCATTTAGATTATGACCTGCAGGTGAAAAACGAAGGAATAAATAAAAAAAGTAAATGGAGCCGTTTGAGAAAACTTAATGTGAAAAGAGCTTTACCTATAAACACTATCTTGTTCATCTGATTTTCTTGCTTTTTCCAATCGCGAGTTGGCACAATCTCATATATCTCCTTCACTGCCTGCCATATATCGATGAATAAATAACAGCATACAATATCTGTCAACTACCACATGAAAATAATTTACCGTGCAAGTAAAGGACAATCAGACCAGGGAATGCCCTCCTGGCCCAAATTAGGAGTTCAAAAGCAGCCTCAATGTCTCCCTGGTGATACATATAAATTTAAAACTCATGGTATAATTGTCTCCCTAATGTCTCCTGGTAAAGAGTCTAGGACACCTTGCTATTGGTATAATTGCTTTTATCACTGTGTTATAGTAATGCTTCAGCCTCTAAGCATGCTTCCTCAAAGACACTCAAAAGGCAATCAATGATTTTTTCTATGCACAATCATCATTCTTGAGTCTTGACCATGAAATGATATTGGAGGAACTGAGTTAGAGCATCAAGTGCACTACCTCCAGTCTAATGCAGCATAAGACTAAACTTTTCTAGAGAAGAAATCACATAATTTAATATTAGACAGTACCTGCAAAGTATGTAATTTATTTGAATTGTGAACGCTCAAAACCCCTTTGCAGCGGTATACATCCATGCCATGTTTCTTCTCCCAAAGAATCTCCTCAAGCCATAAACGAACCTTTAAAACAAAACCATGAGACATTATAGACTGATACATATGATTATATAAATTTTCATAACAGTTGCAACAATGAGAAGTTAACAACAACTACTACACAGCATTGCTAACGTGCTTGAACTGAACTGACCAGATTTGCATCCCAAATGTATAGGGTCAGTGACACATTTCTTAGATAAGCCATCCAATTTCTCCAGGACCACAGTTATAGATGCAGGAATCAATAAATCAGTCATATATTGGTTTTCTCTGCCTAGTGTAGTTTTTAAACTATGGACAATTTTCTGAGATGAATAAAATAATCAGACTAACAATAATGTCTACAGTTGTAAAAGGTGACAAATCGTAACCTTTCTGAAAGTTGTTAAACACAACACCAATTAGTTAACATATTTGATTTCAACCAATTTCTATGATAACTATTTCACAAGAATACCTTTTCAAGATCAACCTGCCGTGGCTCACAAATGCATAAGGTTCGTACACCACTGTCATGGAGATCTCGCGTAGACAAAGCACGAGTTTCTACCAGTAATGATTCTAAATGAGTAGCATGCTGAGAAGGAAAAAGTTGAATATTATTTAAAGATCAGTATAAACTACAAATATAAGTAAACAAAAATAGAGCATGACCAACCATAGCATCATAGGCCCGACAGTCCAATATATTGGACAAGTCAACTTGACCACGAACAGAATGAATGATACTAGCAAGTGAGTTAATACTATGTATCTCCTTCTCCAGTTCCTCCAGAAAATCCGCAGAACCCTCTGGAGAAACCAAATCAACCTTGTTAAGAATTATAACATCCTACAACAGAGAGACAAACTCATAAGATATGAAGTGCAAGCACAACACAACCCAACATATAAATAAAAAGATCGAAATGCAGAGAGAGAGAGAGAGAGAGAGAGA